AGGTGATGATAAATAACATAGTTATGTATAATATATTACATTTCTGACTGTATATCCCTGTAATTATTACACACTGTAGCTTTAACATTGTTGGATGAACAACTTAATATTATGAGACAAAGCAAGATGAAAATATTTGTAATACTCACTATTTGCTCGCTTAAATCCCGAAACAAACAGCATATAATATATTTATAGTTTTTATAAAAGTAAAATAAAAAAAAAATTGCATTTAAATCAATTAAAGCATTAAATCTTAAAATGTAATGTTTGATCAGAAGCACCAACCGATAAAAATAGCTGAAATATAAACAAATAGTATATAAGCCAGTTTTATGATTCATAAAATATATCTTTGGTTTCTCACCATTATCTCTCTTCTTCCAACAGAGGATGACTCCAGCAATGATGAAAACCAGAACCAGAACTGCAGCAATAGCCCCGATAACGATCCCAATGGGGTTTCCTGAAACTAAATCATTTAAACTGATTAAACTGTGTAAAATATCACAAAATTCCTGGGCAAGAAAACATTTGAAGCAGCTGCAAGGACAACCTACAGAGTTTGAGATGTAGGTATCTTTATTGTCATCTGATATAAAACATGAAGCATTTCAGCAAGCATTTTTCTTCCTTTGGTGTTTTTTAAATTTATACATTTTGCACAGAGATTCAAAATGATCTACCCATCTGAGCAGCTGTTCTGTTTTCTGCCTTACAGGTTAAAATGAGGAGGAGGGAGGCTGATCCAAAACTAAAGGCTTTTGTGAATTAGACACATTTCCACAGACTGATTAATACTATGAGTCATATATCACGGGAAGGTCCGAATTTGTTGCCATAGGACAGTCCAATTCATCACCCCATACAGTCACCTGCGGAGTGCCTCAAGGGTCGGTCCTTGGGCCCTTTTCACCATCTACATGCTCCCACTCGGTCAGATAATCAAAAAACACAAGGTCTCTTTTCATTGTTATGCAGATGACACCCAGTTGTACATAAAAATGGACTCCACTTCTCCCACAGTTCTGCCATCTGCTTTTCACTGCTGCCTGGAGGAGATAAAGACATGGATGGCTGAAAACTTTCTACAGCTCAACAGCAGCAAAACAGAAGCCATTCTCATTGGCACCCCACACCAAACCAAGTCCTTCTCCCTAAACAGTATCCCTATAAACAGAGGGATGTCAAAACATATATATATTTATAAATATATCACCACAACTGCAATATATGGAAAAACTGAAGATAAAACTAAAGGAAAAAGAATAAACGAGTGAGGTAATTAAAGATATGAGTGAACATAGGGTGGAAAATAATTGTTTTTGTGACTAAAAGGCTTTCAATTTAGACGACTGTTCATGAATCTTTAAGACACTGTGGAAACTTGTCTTTCAACTGTAGTTTAACCCCAAAGACAGATGTAAAGGAGAAAACTTGGAAGTCACTGTCTGCTCTTCTGTTTTCCGAATATGAAATCCGTTAAAAATCCATGAAGCAAAGTAAAAAATACAAACCTGAGTTTCTACAACAAATGTATACAAAATAAAACACAATTTATCAACATATTGTTTTTAAAACCCATTTATAATACTAAAGTATTACCTTCATTAGTACTGATCTTTGTTTTTTCCAGAGGAGTGATGACATCTCTTTCAATACCAGAGAGCTGAAACACACATTCATATTTGGTCCAGTCCTCAGATGATGGAAGGTTCAGGTCAACGCTCATCTGGAAGGTTCCATCATTGTTAGGGAGGATCTCTCCTTTCTCCACACCATCATGGATCTCTGCTCCATCTTTCCTCCAGAACATTTCTGCTCTGTTGGGGTAGAAACCTGTAGCAAAGCAGCTGATTGGAGAGGAGGAAGATTTCTGGAGGATGGAGACTGATGGAAGATCTGGAGGATTGATAGGATAACATTCTGTTTATAACTAATTTATAAACAAAAACGACAAAGACTGATAATTTGATTGCTGAACATAATACTTTTAATATAGATGAAAAAGTGACTGAATAAAAAAAAACTGATAACACCAGTTACAAAGATTTAAAAATGTTTAAACATAACACAGAAATGTAGCTGTTTATTTTAAACTAAATGATGTCTAGTAATACCTGTTCTCATCAGAGTTCTCCTCCCATAGCTCAAATACTTCTTCAGCCACTCAGGACACATCAGAGTTAAGTAGAAACTCTCAGGACTTGCAACAAATATATCACTATTCCACTTATTTTTGCTGGTGACAGCCTCTTGTACTGGAGCGATCCATGACCGTGTCCTCAGGTCCAGAACAATGAAATCTTCTCCATCGTAACCAATCTGATCATAACCTTTAACCTCTCCAGTCTCATCATCCCACTCACAGCCGTACATCTGCTGATAGACGTGAACTCCTGAGACACAGCAAAAGAGTTTGAATATTAGTAGTGAATTTAAAACAGACTTCATTAATTAATCCAATAATTAAATAATTAATTATTTTAATGTAAAAAGTGCCTGAATAGAACAAACAGAAACCTTGAAAAAAAATTACTATGGGCAAAAACCCTGACTTTCTATTACCGGTACTGTTCCAAGAAAAACAATACATGGTCACTTTACCAAATGTTTGAAGATTTTAATGGAGCAATGGCTACAGATAAATAAAACATTTACTGCAAATGTTTCAGGAAATAAATTTAAGGACATTAAAAGTTTTAAATGTTTGGGTTTGTTAGTTTTTTTTATATATTAATGATCATGAACTTTGTCAGTTTGAGTCCAGCTAATCTGTAAAGAACTCTATCCCTGACTGTGATTATATTTTATATTTATAGTATTTCTTAGCATTTTAGGACATGTAGTTTGTTCTGTAATTTGTTTTTAAATGTGTGAACCTTCCAGGGGACAATGGAAAATTAGCAGTAGCAAACTCTGGTACAAGACATCTCTTCTTTTTAAGATTGGTGTATTTTGTACACTCTACCTGTTAAATAAACTAATAAACTAAAAAAATACAAATAATAATAAATGAAGGGACTCTGGAAAAGACTTTACTTAATAGAGAAACAGAAAAATACCTGGAGAGAGATTAAAACTAAGAGATAGTTTACAATTTTAAGCATTGTAACAAGTGAACAAAAAAATTAAAATGTTTTATTTTAACCAACACTATTCATAGCTTGCGACTAAGTACCTGTGAATACACATATTACTATTTTAAGGTAAAATCATTGTTGAAAAGTTACTTAAAATCTTGCTACATTGAAACAAGTTCTAAATAAATATATATTTAAAAAACAACTGATGAAATCATTAATCCAGATATCCAAGTACAATAAAATGTGCATTAATATGAGCTAAAGGAACATCATTAAAAAAAAAGTGTACATCAGCTTGACCTCCAAGCCCCCATATTATGTATATTTGGTACACTTGTGTTAATGATGAAAACTGTTGACGACCCCCTAAAACCCTGTGCACATTAATTATTGACTTGAATATATGCCAAAAACCTAAATAAAAACTTTTAAAAACAGTTGTTAAAGAATATATGACATGTAGATGATGAATAATGAACAAACCTCCAGTCTGGTTGAAACGTTGTTTTGCAAATTCTATGTTTAATTTGAAGGTTTGCTGTTTATCCAGACATGTATCAGTTTCCTCCTCCCAGTAACGTGGATGTTCTGAACTCACTTCTTTCATCCATTCCTGTTTAGGAATGTTTCTGTTGGTTCTGCTGTCACAGTAACTGATCTGAACATCATCCACAAACCCAACAGACATGTATGAAGGGAAGTCTGAGATTCCTGAAGATGCCGTGTAGAAATACCTCAGAGAGTGGGTCACTGTGAGGAAAAAACACAAATTTCTTAACATTTTACCATCATTACTCTTTTGTTGAATGATATGGTCAAAACTTATTAAATAATTTTTTTTTATTTCAGTTGTAATATTGTTATATATATATATAAACAATATAGAAGCCTCAGTTAAATGAAAGCAAACAGTTAACATCTACCTGTACAAGCTGCAGAAAATTTTTACCAAGTCTATAGAACTCACATAATAGAAATTTTTAGAAATATTTGATTTAAAATAACAATATTTAACTATTTTTATTCAGGGCTACAAGTAAAAGCAAAAAATCCCATACTGTATAAGCCCGTTATCTTTTTTACTTCATGAGTTCTTGACTCTTCAATTACTGGTAATTTATTTTTTTGTGAAATATTTGTCCTATAAGTATGTAAGTATGTGGACTATGTCCACAGATCACTATAATAAATCAGCTATGATCTCACATCTAGCTCTTAAGAGATACGAACTAATGGTCCCCAGTTTATCCTGAAACATCTAACATTGGATGAACCCTTTTTTACAGTGGAACAGCTTTAAAAGCCATTTTAATTTTTTTAAATCACCCTGTCTTCAAAGCCATTGCTGAACTAATATTCAGGAATCCTATACAAAAAAAAAATGATTACGATGGTCTTTGCCAACTATTATGAGACACAGAGAAACTAAAAATGGAGGAAAAGTGTTGTAAATGTGTTGAAATAGTAAATTCTATTGTTCTGCAAAATAGCATATTTTAAAAGAGATAATTGTTGTGAAAAAATAAGGCTGGCTTGATATGTTTGGAGATTAATTAGCAGCCCACCTTTCATCATCCCTGTATTTATTTTACAACTCTAGTAATGTAACAGCTTCTATCACATCTGTTAAGTCAGAATCCATGATTTCATCTTTGATGCAAGAACATGGTTTCTCATGGTGTCTACTGAGATATTTATTCGTTAACATGGTTGCCTTGAAACCAAACTTTAGTAAGCAGAAACTAGACTGCATGAAGTCCATGAATTGGCTGAACGTACACAGATCCAAAACCACAGTGAGGGGCAGTGATCAACAGAACAAGCTGGAATGCAGATAAGAAAAAAGAACAGTTGATGTCCCGCTTCCAAAATGGCTGAGCGCAGTATTGCTTTTTTTTTAGAAATTTATGATCATTGAAGAATTGTTGTTGTGTTTATCTCGTAATAGAGCTTAAAAATTTTTCATTGTCACTCTTCAACATTTTGAGCACCATTTAGAGAAATAAGGAGTTCATGGACAAGTTTGTTCTGGGGCAATAAAAAAAAAAAAAAAAAACGGATATCCACGTCACTTGTTGCTGGGTTAATCAAACACTCAGAGGTTGTCGCACAAACTGTAACTAAACTTTGAGTTAATTATTACCCAAAAATGTTTTATATGAAATATGTTAAATCAGGGTCTGTTTTTTTCTAGACTGTAAGATTTTTTAGAAATAATTTTATTTTGTTTTCTCTATTTTATTGGACTTTGTTTCCAAGTTTGAAGACATTTCGCCTCCCATCCAGGAAGCTTTTCGACTCAAAATGTCAGAAATGGCGTTGAGTTTCAGGCTTTGTACAGTAGCCAAACAAAGCGTTATTTTAGCTTAGAAAACATGCAAATTGAAACGGAATAACGGGTTGTTTTGGGGTCATGTGGCTTCTTTTGATAGCTTGTCGATGTCTCTGAAAGGGAATCATTGGCCTGGCTGAATAGGCGACTACTCTATTTGAGTAGTTTGTGGTCAAATCTTATTCTCTCTTTCGATTATAAAAATGTTCATATGTATATAGCCAAGGCTACGGCTGCTCTTAATAATTATATCAAAGCTTCTTTCTTGTAAGATTTACAACTTTACTCTCACATTATCACGACGTCATTCTTGTAATATAATGATTTCATTCCCATAACATCATTTTGTTCTCATTTTTTAAAAGCAAAAATGTCTATGGCTCTAAAACGTTGTTGTATCACCTCAGCCTTCAGCTGACCTTACATTCAAAAAGGCAAAACATTGTTTGAGTTACACTTAACCTTGATTCTTTATCTACTAAAATATAATTCTTTCTCACCTGCCACTGCTCCTCGGATTACCAGAAGAATTATGGCTAATATCCTCATTGTACATTTCACATGTTGTTTTTCAATGTCAGTTTCAACCTTTTCAACACCATCTAGAGAAATAAGAAGTTCTTGGATGTTCTTGGAGTTTGTTCTGAGTCAATAAAAAAAAAATAAAGGCACCAGCCATGTCATTTACTACTGGGTTAATCAAATACCCAGAAGGTTTTGATGAAACTGTAAGTAAACTTTGTCCCTTTGAGTTAATTATTATCCAGAAGTGTTTTATATAAAATATGTTAAATCATGCTCTCTGTTTCTAGACATTTATTAGCATTTTTTTATTATAATTGTAATATTTCGATTTTCTATTGAAACTGCACCTATTTCCTTAAGTTCAAAACTTGTTCTCTTGTTTTAATATAAAAATTCAATATAAATAAATATAAAAGTTGAGAATGATGGGACATTCCAGATGCCTCTGGACATCGATCTGTCCTCTGTTCCACCTGAAGACTGGACCAACTATGAATGTGTGTTTCAGTTCTCTGGAGTCAATAGAAACATCACAGAAAGACTGGAGAAAATGAAAATAATGACCAATGAATGTAAGTAACTTTAAACAATGAGCCACATGTGTTTATAGACATATTTCTACTGATTGGCCTTTAAATTTAAATCCCGGAGTTCCTCAAGGTCCTGGATGTTGTAGGGTTGTGTTGGCTGACGCGACTCTTCAACATTGCATGGACATTGGGGGCAGTTCCCCTGGATTGGCAGACTGGGGTGGTGGTCCCCCTATTTAAAAAGGGGGAACGGAGGGTGTGCTCCAATTACAGGGGAGTCACACTCTTAAGCCTCCCCGGCAAGGTCTAT